CCTGCCTTGCAAGGACGAGGTCCGAAGTTCAATTCCTGGTACCAAGAATAAACAAATAAATAATAATAGGGCCGCTAATGTAGCTCAGTGCAAAAGCCCTAGGTTTAATCCCAGAAAAAAGAAAAATGAATGAATGCCACATGTTTGGAAAAGTAAATGAACAAACGTATTTATAGTTTTTACTTCCAAGAAATAAATAGTGCCAGGCATGGTGCACACACCTGTAATCCCAGCACTCAGGAGGCTGAGGCAGGAGGATCACTGTGAGTTAGAGACCAACCTGGGCTACACAGTGAGTTCCAGGTCAGTCTCAACTACATAGTGAGACCCTGTCTCAAAAAACAAAAACAACAACCACAAAAAAACACAAATGCAAGATTAAAAAAAAGAGAAGTAGATAGTAATATGTGTTGTGATAATTAAATGACTATATATGTGTGTTTGTGATTCTTAGCATACAAACTGTACCCATGTGCTCAGGAAGTCTTATTCTGTTCCTGAGTGATTTATTTAAATGCAGTCGGACCCTGTAACTGCTTCACTTGGTGGTTCCGGTGTGCAGCGGTCCTGCTCCCTGCAGGGCTGAGTGTGTCTGCACAGGGGTAGCGGTGTCTCCAGCCCTGGCTCTGGGGTGGATGCGTCGCAGCCGCCCTGCTCACCAGGGGACCCGGGCGACACCTCCCAGCTGCCCTTCGTCCCTCCCTGCCCTCTGCCCTGAGGAAGGGTGACTGGGACCTGGTGGCCGGGGCCTTGCTCTCCCTGGCTGTGTGACTCTGCCCTGGGTCCCAGGATGGAGAACGCAGCGGGGACAGAGCCGGGGAGCCGTGTGTGGCAGAGGAACGACGGTTTTAGGCTGCGGCAGCTCCTTGTCCCTCTGTGTCCCAGCCCGGGCTGTGTTGCGTTGCTCGGGGACAGGATGGGGACCTGGCTGAGAGGCTGGGGCTCATGGAGCCGGCTCCGCCTGACCTTGGCAAGGACAGCAAAGGCTGTCCTGTTGGCCTCGAGGAGCCCGCTAAGGTTCAGCCGCCAGCCAGGCCAAGGGGATCTAAAGGAGGAGGGTGGGGCGCGCCGTCCCGGGTGGCATTAGGTTCTGGAAAGAGGACAGGGAGGTGGGGGGTCCAAAACCCGAGCTGGGCATGGAGCCGATTTGGGATGGGGACGCAGGACCCCCACGGATGGTGGTTCTCTGGTCCTAGGCTGCACAGTGCCGGGGGCGGGGGCCTGGGGTTCCTCATCTGGGGTAAGGTCGAGCTCACCCCCTGCGCCAGAGGCAGCAGAACAGACCCGAAGGCAGCTTCCGGGGCGGACGCTCCGTCCCTCCCCGCTCTGTGTGGACTGGACGTCACCCCGGGTGGTGCCTCGGACCCAGCTAGCCCTGCCTCTCCCGTCCCGGCTCCGTGGGCCGTGACACCCCCAGGGCTGCGATCGCAGTTGCGGCTGCCTCCGGCCCACGTGGAGGCTCTCGGAGTGTGACTCTCCTGAGCGTTTTCAGAATGGGCACCACACCGAAATGGCGACGGAGCCAGCCGGAAGAGCCGTCCCTTCAGCAGCGGTGACGGGGAGCTCTTTGTTTCCCTTTGCCGTGAGGGTGAGTGATGGGCTGACGTCCCAGCCCAGCCGGCGCCGGAGGCCCAGTGCTTCCTGCCACGTGCGGTGCCTCTCAGGACCCCGAGCCTAAGGCTGCTCCGTCTGCTCCGTCTGCGAGGCCTCCTGACCCCAGCCGGGGGGCTCCCGTCTGACCCGGGGACACCGGGCTTGAAATCACGTGGTCCCAGACATGGGGGTCCCTTTGGGGTCCGTGGAAATTGCATTTATCCCCTGAGCTGCTGAATCACACACTTTCAAAGGGTGAAATTTAGCTGGGCTCTGGTGCACGCCTGCCGTCTCAGCTGTCGGGGAGGCTGAGGCAGGAGTATTGCAAGCTCAAGACGAGCCCAGCCTGGGCACCTTAGCAAGGCCTTGACTCAAAATCAAAAGGGGCCGGGGAGGGAGCTCAGTGGGAAGGCCCTGGCTTCAGTCTGCTACCATTGCTACCCTGAGGTCAGTCCCGTCTGGATATCCATGCAGCCCCCGGTCCTGTACCCTGCTCTCCTCACTCTGGAATCTGCACCGTCCCTGGCTGAACCCCACACTTTGAATGGATGGCCTGCATGGTGTGAACACTGTAACTCAATACAGTTGTCCAAAACAAAAAAAACGAAAACGATCCTTAGCATTCAGGCTCTACAGTCAGTGTAATAGATTGGCCTCTCTCTTTCCTGCGTTTGATACTATCACATAGTTTTGTAAAGTGTTACTATTAGGGAAACTGGACAAAAGTTACAGGGTCCCTCCATGCTGCCTTTGCAACTTCCGAGGAGTTGTAATCCATCCCAGGGTTGAAAGCAAAGTTATATGTACAGCCCGTTCCTGTAAGGTGGCGACATGGAGTCTTGGCCTCCAGCAGCTCTGTGGGGATGCTGCTCCAGCCTTTTCATCATGCATCCCCGCTGACGGCGGCTGCCAGGGCCGTCCCTCTTGCCTCAGGGCAGCACCAGTCGCAAGAGGATCCTGGTTGATTTAATCCTGCCGGTTTACCTTCTTGAAGGGCAGTTCAGGACATTTCTGCAGCTTTGGCGCCACCTGCAGTTGACAGTGGGTATTTCAGCAAATTAGCTGGTGCTCAGAGAACGCCCAACCCAGCGTTTTTATTTATTTTATTTTTTGGTATCAGGGATCGAACTCAGGACCTTGCACACTGAGCTACATCTCCTGCCATCCAGCCCAGCATTTCTAAAAAGAAAAAAAACAACTTACATTTTTAATTAAAAATATTTTTGCAGTACTGGGAAGTGAACTCAGCCTTTGCTGTGAGCTGCATTCCCAAGCCTTTTATTTTGAGGGAGGGGTCTCGCTAAGTCACTAAGTTTCCCAGGCTGGGTTTGAACTTGCCATCCTCCTGCTTCAGCCTCCAGAGTGCTAGGATTACTGGTGAACACCATCATTCCTGGCCAGAAAAAAATATTTTTAGCTGGGCGTGGTGGCGCATGCCTGTAATCCCAGCACTCGGGAGGCTGAGGCAGGAGGATCGCTGTGAGCTCGAGACCAGCCTGAGCTACATAGTGAGTTCCAGGTCAGTCTCACTACATAGTGAGACCCTGTCTCAAAAAACAACAACAAAAAAATTTTTTTAAGCAGGGCATGGTGGTTCACTCCAGTAACCCCAGCACTCGGGAGGCTGAGGCAGGAGGATTGCTCCAATTTTGAGACCACCTGGGGCTACGTAGTGAGTTTAAGGCCAGCCTGAACTGCATAGCAAGACACCGCCCCCCCCAAGATTACAATGTTGCTTTAAATGAACTTTTAAGGCCCTGAGGATGGAACCCAGGGTGTCAGGCATGGCTCCCTACTGAGGCACGCCCCCAGCCCTAAAATGAGCGAATTTTAGCATCATTTTACAATTTCAGAGGCGTTACAGAGAATATCAGAGGGTCTGTCCAGCTTTGCCGGTGTCCTATAGCAGCGGCCCCCAACCTGTTTGGCACCAGGGACCGATTTCCTGGGAGACAGTTTTCCCACGCGTGGAAGGTGGCACGGATGATCTCGCACACGTGCAGTTCCCAGCCGGTTTTTCCTATGAGAATTTAGGGCCGCACTGATCCTGCGAGAGGCGGCGCTGGGCAGTGACGGAAAGACGAGAGGGGCTGGAAACAGGCAGCTTCGCTCTCTGCTCACCTGCTGCGCGGTCCTGCGGGAGACCGGAGTTCTATAAAAGTCCACCTGCGTGTGTTTTTGTTGTTTTTGCAGTTAAACCAGGGTGGTAGGTTTGGGGCCAAATACCAGAATTGAAGGGCTGTTCTTGTTGTATCATATCTGGTGAAGGGAGAACTTATTGAGCACTAAGTATAAGCAAAAAAAAAAAAAGCTTTAAAAGCTTTAATAAAAATGATCTCATTGAGTGGGGCATGGTGGTACACGCCCGTCATCCCAGCACTCAAGGAGGCTGAGGCAGGAGGATCAAAAGGTCAAGCCCAGCTTCTACAACATAGCAAATTAGAAAAAAAACAAAAAAAGAAGAAGAAGAAAAAGGGCTGGGGATATAGCAAAGGCCCTGTGGTCAGTCCTGGTTCCACACAATAAATGAGTCACCTCATTCTGTCCTTAGGAAAGATCGGCGAGGCTGGGTATGACCCTGGCTGGCCATAGAGGATCCAGGCCAGGTCACCCGGCCCCTACCCACTCTTGCTGTCTTCTCAGGGTACTGAGCTGGGGACAGTTTTCTGTGGACTCCACCCCACTTCCTGAGTTCTGGCATCAGACTCCGAGCCTCCTTCCCCATGCACCCCTGACCTGGCCACCTGTAAATGACATGGACCAGATCACCAGCAGCCAGCCTCGGGGGCCCTCCCCAACTCAAGGCCCCCAGTGGCTTCTGGTCATATATGGGGTCACTGGGGTCTCCTGGGGCGTGATTGTGCCCTGGGGCAATGCTGGGCCACGCCTGGGGGCAGGTACGGCCATCACCATTCAGGGGAAGCTGAGCAGGGCCTGGGTCGCCCCCAGAGCATGTGCTGGCCTGGGTGTGTGCAGGGATGGAGACGCCGTGCATGTGTCGGAGCCTTGTGGGGGGCCCAACTCAGCACATGGCCATCCTCGTGGTTATGCAGCAGGGCACCCAGGGCAGAGCTAGCCATGGAAAATGGCCCCTGGGGCTGCCGGGAGGCTGGGCGGGGCTTGCAGAGCCCCCTCCCATCATGGGCTTCACTGGTTACTCGAGGAGGCTGAGGCAGGAGGACTTCAAGTTTGAGCCCAGCTTGGGCAACTTGGGAACTTAGCGAGAACCTGTCTCAAAATAAGTAAAAAGGGAGGGCATGCAGCTCAGCGAGAGGCCCTGGCTTCCATCTCCAGTCCTGCAAAACAAACACATCTCTGTCCCCGGCTACATCCAGGCTCAATCCTTTCTGCCATGCTCAGCTCCTCCCACCACAGGCCCCAAACTCACGCTGTGTGTTTTCCTCCAGGGAGCCAAGTTGTGGAGCCAGCACCTTGGGCTGGGGACGCGAGGCCGGGCACACAGGTAAGTGCTCTGATGCTTGTTTTTGTTCTGTGTGCCACGATTGCTCCGCACTTTTGAAGCCTGGATGAGAACAGGAGTTGGGCTGTGTTCTGGCTGTGTCAGGATGAATCCAAGGACTGGTCTCCTCCAGGGACAGCAGGGACTGCGATGGTGCCTGGCTGCCGGCCATGTGTCCCGCCTTGAGGCAAGGGTCACAGTGCTGCAGGCTCTGGTCCTGAAGGGCAGTGGTCATTGCCAAGGGCAGAGCTGAGTCTCAGCCAGGATGCAGAGGATTCAGAGGACTGAAATGAGTTGTCTTAGTCTGTTTTCTGTTGCCGTAATAAAGTGCATGAGGCTGGGTATTTTCTTAAGAAGAAAGGTTTCTGGGCTGGAGATTTAGCTCCATGGTTCCACTGCCTGCCTTGCAAGTACAAGGTCCTCTTGCTCCTTTTAAAGTTTCAAAACAGGTCCTCACTAAGTTGCTAAGTTGTCCTGGCTGTACTCGAACTTGCAGTCCTCCTGCCTCAGCCTCCCAGAGTGCTGGGATGACAGGCTTGTGCCACCGCATCCTACATGTTTGTCTTTGTCTTAAGATTCTGAAGCTGGCAGGGTGTGTATGGGGGCACTGCGCACGCGAGGCCAGCGAAACTAACCGCCATTGGGCTTGGACAACGCTGCTACTTCCCTTAAAAATGAAAGAAAAAAAAAAAAAAGGTAGAAAGCAGACGAAGGCCCCTCAAATCCCCTTCTACATGGTGACCATCATTAAGATCTTAATTTTAAAATATTTTTATTAGTATATTTGTAATACTTAATGTTGGCCTCCTCCTCCTCCTTCCATCTCTTAGCCCTGTTTGCCATTTGAGAAACATCTATCTCCCTACTTCCTGTTATCTACCTTTTATTTGTTTTGGTTTGGTTTGATTTTTTGAGACAGGGTGTCACTATGTAGTTGAGACTGACCTGGAACTCACTGTGTAGCCCAGGCTGGTCTCGAACTCACAGCGATCCTCCTGCCTCAGCCTCCCGAATGCCGGAATGACAGGCGTGCGCCACCCTGCCCGGCTCTCTACCTTTTATTCTACTCTTTATTTATACTTTCATGGTCAATTTGTTTCACTTCACATGATAGTCTCAAGATGCGTCCGTTGTGGTACGGAAGACCCAGAGTCCTACCCCTCCGTGTATAAACACCACATTTTCTTTTCTACTCATCTATTGGCGGATATTCAGTGGTGCCTCGGTTCATGAACTCAGTTCTGTCCATGATTCTGGTTACAAACCGAACGGGACGAGAACTGAATCAGATTTCCCCACAAGGGCAACACTGAATCTAACCGCTGAACTTGATCTGGTTTTCACCCAACTCAGTTTGGGACCAGAATCGCGGAAAGAATCAAGTTTGTGAACTGAGGCACCACTGCATTTGCTACTTCCAAGACTTAGCTGTTATGAATGGTGCTGCTGTGCACATGGGTACCGTGAATTGTGTTTGCGGATGTGCACATCTAGGTTTCAGATCGGCAGGATTTTATTTGTTTGTGAAGGTCTGGCACATGCCAAACAAGCCTTCTACCACTGAGCCACACCCAGCCCTTGGGGGAAAAAATGTTTTTTGAGACAGGGTCTCACTAAGCTCTCCAGACTTGAGACTGACTTGGAACTCATTATGTAGCCCAGGCTGGTCTTGAATTCACAGCGATCCTCCTGCCTCAGCCTCCTGAGTGCTGGGATGACAGGTGTGCGTCACCACGCCTGGCTCTGACTTGAGGACCCTCTTGTCTCAGCCTCCTAGAGTGGTTGGATGACAGGTGTGAGCCACTATACCGGCTCCCTAGGGTCTTCTGACATGAATTGTTGCTGTGTTTTCTGTGTGAAAGGGGTCTCGAGCCCCCTTTGGGTGCCCCTTGCTCAATTATGCCACTCACGCGCCGAGAGGTCCGGCAGGAGATCTTTATTGTAGGGAGGCGAGCGGGAGGCGGAGGGCAGAGAGAGAGAGAGAGAGGAGGAGGAAGAAGAAGCAGAAGGAGAGAGAGAACAAAGAAAGGAAGGTCCTTTTATCAGTTTGGGGTGGGCTATTGCTTATTTATGAGGAGTGAGCTACTTTTAACCTATCACAGGCCAGATTGCTTTCATGGGCCCAGTCCTGCAGACACAGGTTTCAACTTTCCTGGACCACTGTGGCCTTGGCGGGGAGGCAAACCAGAGCTAAGGGCATGAGGTCATTTTAGGAGCCAAGATGTACCAGGAGAATGCAGCCTGTGAGGCGGCGTCACAGCATCCTTTAACATGATCAATTCCCTAACACTGTGGACCTTTCCACTGGCTTTAATATATATTCTTTCTATCTATCTATCTATCTATCTATCTATCTATCTATCTATCTATCTATCTATCATCTATCTATCTATCTATCCGGATTCTCCACTGTCTTTTTTGGCCCTTCTTCCACATTTTAAGATTATTTTTAAATTCTCTTATATCTTTAAAAGCTCTTGTATCTTGCTTGGACTGCAGGCTTACGTTTACGCCTTGACTTCCCTCGTGGGTCGCACTAGGGTGTCGGGGACCCCGCCATGGTCAGCTCCTGGCGCTGAGTGGGCGGGGCCAGGAGTAGTGCGTGGGGGGCACCGCGCCTGCCTTGAAGGTCAGCGTCGCAGGGCTGGGGCGCCGTGGTCTGGGGCCGGGGTCGTCCCGAGGAACCTGTTACACAGTTACACAGTTGCCCTTTCCTGCGGGAGGCGGGAGGAGGGCGACCAAGGCTGTTCCCACTTTGTCAACCAACAGCAGTCAGACAGGCAGTGCGCGGACTCCTCCCCGCTCCTCGCCCTGCGGAGCCCCGCGGGGAGAGCGATGCAGGCTCCACAGCTGCCGGATCCCCGCCGGGACTTCCTTGCTAAGTTGCAGTCTGTCCTGGACGGCCAGTATGTCACCAAATGACGCTACAGCCTCGGGTTCGGACCAGCGCCTTTGACTTTCTTCGAAAGGGCCGGGGCTCGCCTGTGATCCAGGCACTTGCTGAGGCTGAGGCGGGAGGGTCGCGATTTCAAGCTCAGTCTGGGCAATTTAATGAGACCCTGCCTCCAAATAAAAAATAAAAAGGGTGCGGATGTAGCTCAGAGCGAGGCCGTGGGTTCAATCCCCGCTACCCCTACCCCCTTACACACTCCTCTGCCACACACACACACACACACACACACACCCCGCCCGCCCAGGATTGTGAGGCCCTGGTGCCCCCGTTGCAGGTCTGTAGTTACCACCAGCGGCCAGAAGGGGGCAGAGGAGGTCCGTGGATTCTGGGGATGCGTTTGATGCCCGCGGGCCAGGGGTGGGCGCAGGCAGCTGCCCTCGTGAACCCCCGTTTTAGGGTCCTGTGATCGCCTCTTTTCTCTGTGCTCAAAACGGTGCCGCGGGGTCACCGGAGGGCGAGGCTGTCAGTGCGGTCGTCACAGCTGG